GATTTACAAAATACACCGAGGTACAAATTATTTAAGCGTCAGCATTGTCCAGAACTAGATGAAAAATATTCATATGGGATTTATCCATTTGCCTATCTTCCGAGCCCTGAGCGAATAAGTCGCACGAATAAAAAACCGACACATTTCAATCTCGTGGTTTTCGGGTTAATGAGTCTCCAAAGCAAATACCTATGATGATTGGCTACACTAGCAAGGAAGGAATTTGTATCAATGCCAGAAGGTGACGATTTGCTCGAAGTACTGATAAAACGGAACTAAAAAATAATATTAAACTAGAATGTCTCGCATATTATATGGAATCAGTAATTATAATTATACAGATATTGTTGAAAAATTTATAACAGATATTACGGAAAGGAAACTGATCCAAAAAAGCTCTTCGAATTTCAATCAACTTAACTACTGATTGTTCAATGCTGTTTGAATAGAAAATACGGTCAGATTTTATACCAAATACAGAAAAAATCATGGCTCTATAAAAGGCAATATATACTACTATAGATTTTCATTTGATGGAAGTTTTGGTAACTATTTTCTTACTTTATTTATAAATAGAGTTATGTATGAATTGATACACAGATTATTGTAAATATTGGAATTCTTTAACAAGAATCAAAATTTAATTGGTAGGAATGGCTAAAAATGATATGGCTTAACACACATAGAAGGTGCATCTCACGGTGATGATCTTGGCTACTTATTTCACTGGAAAATCCGCCGCAAGATTTACATTCTAATTCTACTTACTTTACGAGAAGGAAATTGATGCGAACTATGATAAAGATGTGGACCAATTTTGCAAAACAGGGTATGATTATTTGCAAAATTTACCAGATTTAGATTTTGCTCTTTTTAATATATTGAAAATATTTATTTAAATTTAATTTTTGTATTATAGTTTTATAGATTTTCTTTTCTTAGGAGAAAATTACGTTACAAAAGTAGATGAGTATTTTAACTCTTTCCGCTCGTGTCCCTCTGATGGGACAACGTAGTTTCTAGCATTTCACTCGGCTTCTCTATTCAAATTTACTATTTTCAAAGTATTTTTTTGGCCTTTCTTTTATATAATCTCTTTTTTTCTAAGTACGGTAAAACCATCGTGCATTCTTGAAGTAATATTAATCAAAGAAACAGATCCATATAAAAAAGATATATTACACTGTTCTCTGCTGATAAACTACTGGGACGCTAATTAATTATAACGACAATGGATCGACTCGGAAGCATTTGGAAATTGATTTAAAATTTAACTGAAATTATATGTTCTTCAATGTTCACAAATTCATATATATTGCATAAATACTTGCACAATAATATCAAGTTTTTAGCAGACACGTTTTCGTCAGAATGCGACGCCGAGTATCTGGTATATAAAGTACGAATCAGTACCGAGCGGAAAGGAGTATGTTTTTTATATTGAAAAGGCCGCATATGAATAGAGTATAAACTTACACCAAATTAACATTTTTTGTTAATGTTAATTTGGTGTAATATTTTTCTCCCTGTTATTATACCATGAAACTAATATTTATTTTTATATGAATCTCGCTCCTAGGAATCCGACACCTGAAGTAAACAGAGACGTACCTATCAAATGGCTTCCAGCGACTGAACAAAAAATATATATGCTGGATATTAATAATGAATTGAAAATGTTTGAGAAATGTAAACAATGATATACACAACTTTTATGCAATTTCTCTTTAAATAGACTGGATCACCCTGTGATATTTGGTTTTGTTATAATAATACTATTTTATACTTAAAATTCACATTGTGCATTCCATTTTGAATACATAATCATTAAATACATATAATTATTGTGATGGAAATTATTATTATTGACTTTCCGTAGGATAAGTTCTAGAAATTTTTGAATTTTTTATCGTTTCAAGATTTCCTGGCATGCGTGCATTTTGGCATACCTTAGAAAAAACATAGGTATATGTGCATGAATAAAAAATGTATATGTGTATGTGTGTGTATTTTGTATGGATACAATTTTTCGTTCACGATTTTGGGTGCACGGATCAACCGATTCAAATTATTCAAAAAAATCACATTCACATTCGATTCCTACTGCTGAGAAGACGTGCTAATTTTGTTTTTGGCAAAGACAAGCCCGAGATGCGAAGCAAAAGTGCAAAAAAAACGGCAGTTTTTGCGAGAACGAGGCATCCGATTAAATTGATTCAGAATACATTCGATTTACTTGATGGCGAAACGTGCTCGTTAATTAGTTCAGATAAATAAACATAATGGGTTAGTTTTTGTTTAAGACAGGTGCAGCGGTTTGAGAGATACAGAACAAAAATGCCAAAAATTACAGTTCTTGAGAAAGCAGAGCATTCATTTGATTATTCGAGAAATATTTTACTAGTTGGCGGAATGAAGAAATGATTAAATTTTTAGAAATGCAGGTCCCAGCGTTTGGAGACCAGAAAAAGAAGTTTAAAAATGCTTTTTGGGGTCAAAATAATAATTATAGACTTATTTACATTATATCGTCAGATATCTTATGGAAAATGTTAATATAATAAGTGAATTTTTTTCTATTTCTATGGGGGTTTTTATAATATTATTAAATATGTTTAAAACATTAGTTACTTTAACTATGGTAACTAGTGGTGCATGGTATCGTGCTTCAAGGCAATTGCTGGAACTTTCTGTACTGTAGTCTGGAATTTTTAAATGCTTTAATTTTTTTAAAGTTTAATTTTTTTTAAAGCAATAGCGTTGTCTAGCTGGTTTAGAAACGGAATATTAAAGCGCGTTACGCCACTTGCAGTCTAACGGTTAATTATTACAAATTTTGGCACAAAACCCATCAAATTTAAACAAAACTTGTAATTATTATTAAAATCTCTATAAAATATCTGATAATTTATAAGTCTAATTATCGCCAAATTTTTTCAACTTCTTTTTATTGGATTTCCGAAACTGCTCGACCTTTCTTCCCAAAAATTTAACTATTCTTCATTATACAATACAAGTGATTTTTTTTTATCATTCAAATCGGACTCTCAGTCTCTCAAAATCGTTTTTTTTTTTGTTACTTTTTATCCCGTATCTTTGACACGGTTAGACTTCCTTTTGCCGTAAAGTAATCGACACGTCATATATAATACGAAACACATATATAATAATGCAAAAATTGAAATTCAGTTTTGAGAAAACCGAAAGTCCGATTTGAAAGATTCAAAACATTTCACTCTATTTGATGGAATGAAGAATTGATTAATTTTTTGGGAAGGGCTGATACAGCAGGTTTCGTTGATCTAAAGAAAAGTAAAAGAATGCAATTTGACGGCAAAAATGATCATCAGACATATGCAAATCAGGTTATTAGATATTTTACAGAAATTTTAATAATAAGTACAAATTTTCTTTACATTTCTTTGGGTTCCGTACCAAAATTTATAATGTTTAAAATTCAAACAAATGTTTTCGACATTTCCGACAGTACATGGATCAATCCACCTAATTTTTTTTTCTTTTATTTTTTTATTATTTTTTTTTTAAACAGCAATCAGAACCTTACATCCTACGAGCTGTTGGGCTGAAACTTCTCCTTACTTCGTATTTTTTTAGATGATAACCCAATGGTTAATCCATCATCCATATTTGATGATTTTGTTATTAGAATTAATCTAATAGGGCTGACTTTTTATTGGTGCAGCAATGCCGGACAAGGGCTATTTTCTTCACTTGGAAACATATTACTATCTATATTCCTGACAACAGACTGCTCGAAGTGGGTATCGAACCCGAGACCTCTGATCAGGTCGCGTCGCTCTTAACCGCTTACCTACGGGCGAGCCCATCCACCTAAATGAGTTTCAAAATTTTCAAAAAATTCTATAATTTAGAAATAGCCGAATTTTTTCAATAAAATCAAATTGAATTCTCAAACAAACCGAATTTTTTCAAAGTTTTAAAGTTTTCAAAAATTCCTCTAATTTATCTTAAAACACGATGTCCATGCACATGCTATTCACCACTCGTTAAACTTGCATTTAGCATGGTGTTATAAACAAAACAAAACTAGTGGTGTATGGCATCGTAAGGCAAATTGCTGGAACTTTTCCGTACCGTAACGAAATGTTCGAGAACAGAATTAAAATTAAAATCTGAATTACATTGGATATACAAAGAAAATTTTTTTTTGAAAAAAGAAATTGAAATGGAATTTTTCTTCCTCAAAAACAAGCAAAAAGTTTTTTGTATCATTCAAATCGGACGCTTAGTTCTCTGCCATTTTTTGCACATGTACACTCATTTGCCAAGAATTAATCACCTCTCGCCCTGTCATTATACAAATTGAATGTTTTTAGATCAGTCAAATCGGATACTCCGTTCTCTCAAAAACTCGATTTGTATTTTCTGCACTCTGCTCCGTATCTCCGTAACGGCTGGACCTGCCTTAACCAAAAAATAATCAGCACATCTCCCTATCGATAGGAATCGAATGATATTCGAACCATTCAAATCGGTTAATCGTGCGCAGTTTGACATACCATCAACACACCCCGACTACAAATACCAAGCAATATAAGACATCCAATAGATTATTTTACTTTATATTTTACAAATGAATTATTAGACAATATGATAGAAAAAACAAACCATTATGGCAGCACAATAATGAACAAATATACTGACTAATCAGTGGCATATTCTAAATGCGAGAGAAAGAATAAAAGGGATTATATTGTCTGTTCTGACAGAAAAGCACCGTAACCGACAGTAATTATTTTATTGTAAAACATGTCAAAATCAACCAGCTATGCATTTTGGAAATTGTTCTGAACGTCACTATTCTTTATAAAATGATCAAAAATAATTAGCTGTAAGTGGAATTCTGTCTTAAGGCAACTAGAGCATTGTGCCTTAAGGCAAATTGCTGGAACTTTCCGTACCAAAAATATATTATTTTTTTAAAAACGATTAACATTTTTGAAAAAAAATTACTTCGAAAAAATAAGATTTTTGAGAAACTATAATTTGACAAAAAATTACTTTTTTTTGAAAAAAAAAAATTATTTAAAAATTTTTTTTTTAAATCCTTTTTTTGAAAAAAATGTTTTTTTTATTAACTTCCCGTAGGGCAAGTTATAGTAATCGCAAAAAAATCGAAAATGAAAATTTTTTTATATCTTTACGTTTCAGAGGTTTCTGAACATTTTGGCATACCTTAGAAAAATGGATGTATGTGTGTGGTGTGTGTATGTGTGTGTATGTGTGTGTGTATGTATGTACGTGTGTGTATGTATGTGCGGATACAAATTTTCGTCGACGATTTCGGGAACACGGATGAACCGATTTGAATAATTCAAAAAAACATTCGATTCGTATTGATAAGGAGACGTGCTGATTAGTTTTGGCGAAGGCAGGTCTAGCCGTTCCGAAGATACGGGGCAAAAGTGCCAAAAAACGGTACCTTCGTTTTTAAGAGAACGGAGCGTCCGATTTGAATAATTCAAAAAACATTTACTTGTATTGACAAGATGTATAATTGATCAAATTTTCATGGAGGCAGGTCTAGCGGTTTCGGAGATCTAATGAAAAAAGTAAATAAAAATCCATTGGGCGGTTAAAAATGATCATTAGACATATGAACATCAAATTATCAGATATTTTATAGAGATTTTAACAATAAGTTATTTTTTTTTTACATTTCTATGGGTCCGTACCAATGCTTATGCGTTAGACGGCGGCGCGGCACTTGCGAGCTTTGACATTTCGTCTCTATGCAGTTCAAGCAGTGCGATTGCTTTGAAAAAAGTTCAAAATTTCCAAAATATGTCAAAATGAAGAAAACATTTTTTTTAAAAAAAATTTTTTTGTTTTCAAAAAAATTTTTTTCTCAAAAAAATTTTTTTTTTCAAATAAATTTTTTTTTTTTTCAAAAAAAAGTAATTTTTTGTCAATTTTATAGTTTCTCAAAAATCTATTTTTTTTAAGTAAAATTTTTTCAAAAATGTTAATCGTTAAAAAAATAATAATTTTTGGTACGGGAAGTTCCAGCAATTTGCCTTAAGGCACGATGCCCTAATTGCCTTAAGACAGAATTCCACTTACAGCTAGTTTTGACATATGTTGGAAGATCTGAACTTTTTTTCAAAGCAATCGTACTGCTTTAAATGCATAGAGACAAAATAAAGCGCGTAAGCGCCGCGTCGCTGTCTAACGGGTAAACATTGGTATGGAACCCATAGGAATGTAAACAAAATTTATACTTATTGTTAAAATCTCTATAAAATATCTGATAATTTGATGTGCATATGTCTAATGATCATTTTTGACCGCCAAATGGCATTTTATTTTACTTTTTTCGTTAGATCTCCGAAACGCTTAACCTGCCCTTATAAAAATTTGATGAAATCTTCATCTTGTCAATACAAGTAAAATGTTTTTTGAATTATTTAAAATCGGACCCTCCGTTCTATTAAAAACTGAGGTACCGTTTTTGGCACTTTTTGCCCCATATCTTGGGAACGGCTAGACCTACCTCCGCCAAAACTAATCAGCACGTCTCCTTATCAATACGGATCGAATGTTTTTTAAATTATTCAAATTGCTTCATCCGTGTTCCCAAAATCGTCGACGAAAATTTGTATCCGCACACAAATACATACTACGCCACACACACACATACACACACACACACCACACACACATACATCAATTTTTTCTAAGGTATGCCAAAATATTCAGAAACCTCTGAAACATAAAGATATATAAAAATTTTCATTTTCGATTTTTTTGCGATTACTATAACTTACCCTACGGGAAGTTAATTAATATTATAAATGTATGTCCTTCAATGACCACAAATTTTTATCAAACAAAATGCATAACAACTACCCATGCAATCAAGTTTACAGCCGGTGCAGTAAATTGTTTTGAAATCGGTACCGTCCCGTAGTGTTAACTCTTCGGGTCCCTATGTAACGCTCGACGTTTTCGTTATCGAATCGGTTATTAACGACAACGGGTCACGTGGGACGGCGAGTCACGACAAACGGATCATATCAGTTTTATCTATGCATGATAATAGACCAACGAACGATTTAAGCAAACAGTAACAGTAGCAGAGGTAGTAGACATCAGTTTGGTTCTGTTATGGAACAAGTCACAAAACCATATGTCAAAGCACATTTTTTCTCCAATGTTTTCAACAAATCGGGTGACTTTTCAAAAGTTTTCTAGTTTCAACGGTTGATTGGGTAGCAAGAAAAAAATACGAACTAAAAGACAAAAAAAACGTTCATATGTTAGCAGTAGATGACCCTGTGCATTTTATACTTTTATAATATGTGTTTTCAGTTGGACTTGAAATTGTATCTATTGTATACAGTGGTGATTTATTGGTCAAGGATAAAAAAACGAGCTAATGACAAATTAATTAAAACATTTAATGTATTAGTTATTCAGTCATTTTTAAATATGGATATAACCACGAAGTTCATTCAGGACATTTTCTGCTTAGAAAATACAATCTCATTATTTAATGAAAAGTACATCATAGATAAGTCGATATTCAATCATGAGTTACAGTGTAATCTTCAAATGTTTTTGTAAAAAAATCACTTATCTGGAAAGGATGTGGTCTAGAGTTTGGCAGGCGAATTAAGTTATTCTAATTGTTTAGATAATATAAATGAAAATCGTCAAATAAATTAGAGACCAGTAAGTATAAACATAACATACAAAACCTTGGAGTACTAAACACATACTATATTTAAGTAGAACTGTAAAAGATGGCTTACTTGTTACTTGTATAGAATATTATATTAGTGATTACTATTGTATCTACAGCTGCTTACAAAACACCTATGACAGACAAACTGAATCGGAATAATCTTACAAACACCAGATGAATTTCAAAGTTTTCCTTTGAATAAAAACACTATCAACGTTCCAGAATTGGATAAAAATCAGTTAGCATTTCCACATGCTAAAATTTGTTTTACTGAATTGTCTTCATCTCAAATACAGCAAGAAGGGCAAATTAAAAGCAATGTCACAGTGGAAAATGCAGTTTTGACATCTCATGCACAATCCAAACCTGCTATTAGTGGCAGTAAAATTGTTTCTAAGAATAAAGTAAATTTATTTCCAGAAATAATTCCAAAGGATAACTTGATTCAGTAAGTTAACTCTAATTAACTTCTCATTGACAACTTTATAGTTTTATGGTTCATAGAACTACATGTTTCGTTACTATTATGCAAATCTTATACCATCATTATTAACATCATCATTAACATGTTGCAAATTGATTATTTTGAGCTTTGATTTTCACTTTCTAATGATGTTTACTTTCTATTCTAAAATACATAGGTTTTTATACAATTAGACCCAAAGGTCTCAAACATTTTACAATAAAATATAGCAAGTCAGATTTCTGACAAAACGTTCATGATAAATAAAACACTTTCAGAAAGTTGAAAAAGGAACACATTTTTGAATATTTTCAAATATATTTTGATGAAAGTGATATATTCTTCCACTCTCTTTTTCAAAATATATATATATATATATATATATATATATATATATATATATATTTGATTTACAGAATCTGTAACATCTACTACTATTGCCTCCAGTGTTCTACGTTATTACACAAATCAAATTGTACTTCTCATATATCTGGTAAAAAGCATTCGGGAAAACAGCAAATAACTCCTTTATTAAAATCAAGTGATCTATTAATCTGTCTTGTTTGTAACTTGGCTTTTTTAAAAAGTAAAACATTCAAAAGTCATATAAAAAAGATGGGTCATACTGACCGGTAAGTATATTTTTATCAGTCGTAAAATAGTGTAGAAAAAAATAAATAGACTTATTTTTATAGCAAGTTTCTTCACAAGGATTGTCCAAAGTGCCATATAAAATTATTTGGTTCATTGAAAATCATTAATCAACATGAACATCTTACATCCAAATCTAAACTCGAAATGAATGATATTGTAAAAAGAGAAATGACTCTGAAAATCAATGGAATTGTTCAGAAAATGAAAGAAATATTATCAAAAGTAATTTAGAAATAAAAGTGAATTTAAAATGGGAGGGAGTACAGGAAGTTCAGCATAAAAAAAATGATTTGAAACAAGATGAAAATAATGATTTAGGTAATGACAGTAAAAATGAAGTTAAATTGAAAACACAATCAACAATATCCAGCCTAAGAAGAAGTGTAGTTATACTTTAACTGAAATAAATAGTTTATCAATTTATAGCACATCTTCTGTCGCCAATTGTTTGTTGTGTATAGTTCAAATGAGCAAAAATGATAAAAATATTTTAGGACATATAAATGGATCAAGACATAAAAAATATTCTGAGAATAATGAATTCACAAAACTGCTTAAACCTTTTTTAAATCAAATTACCCAAATAATGGAAAATGACAAGGACAATGTATTCCACCAAAACATAGATTTTTTATTTCCTTCTACAACAAAAACTCTTTACTGTATATTATGTGATCGTGAAATTTCAAATAAGAAATGTGATATACTTCTTCATTTTAAATCATCTCAACATATTCAAGATCACAAAAGATGCATAGGAGAAATATAAAGCTCATAGCAAAAAAATACAACTTGAAAAAGTTTTATAAATGCATACAAAATTCATAGACAATATAGAACAGAATTACATGATATAATATTTATTTTTATATACAAAATGTTGGCATAAAACAAATTCGAAGGATTTAACACTTAGTACATTGAAAATATACATATGCATATATCAAGAATTTTTGTTCGATATTGATACATATTTAATTATTTACCAACATGGCATCAGAATAATTATAAATTAATTTATATTGAACAGTTTTGAGAACAAGAAAAATATACAAAGATATAAGTACAATAATTAATGTATTTTCCTTGTTGTTATATATAATTTGATTATCTAGTGTCATTATATTATTCTAGTCACCTTAGCATGTTTTTTTGGTTAAATAAATTTATATTATATTTAGACGTATTTTCTATTTAATAATTGAATATATATATTACGTAATATATATAACAACAAGGAAAATACATTAATTATTGTACTTATATCTTTGTATATTTTTTTTGTTCTCAAAACTGTTCTCGTAAAGTCGTACGAGAATTGACTTCCTTTTGAATGCTTTAACAAAATAAGAAATATTAGATATTAATTGTTTTGGAAAATAATTCTTGTGTGCTTCAATGATTTTCGCTTTTCTACTCAGTTTATAAATGCGGATACATAATTTTGGAGCAGCTAAATTATTTTTCGATATACTATGTGTTAAATCCTTTGAATACGCCAACATTTTGTATATAATCATAAAATTCTGCATATATTCGAATGAAAGAGTAATTTTTTTTTTTTAATACGGATAGAAAGTGTTGAAAAATATAAATAACAATACCAACAATCTTTTTTCACTTTCTTTTTAAATAGATTGGGATATTTTGATTGTTATATTAAATTCTATACATAAATTGCTCTATAATGTAATATGTTACTTCATTTTAAATACATGTAAATATTGTAATGAAATGATTTTATATTGATTGTTTTAAATTAATTTTGGTGGTTACTATCTGGTGAACGTTGAATAATATTAACAAATAATTTGTAATTATCTACCACTACTTCAACCTATTTTGAAAATTGTACAAGAAGCAAAATATATGTATAAAATCAGCTTTTTATATACATATTGCTAACCGACTAGGAACAATTATTTGAATAGATAAATAAGCAAATTATTATCCATACTATGATCTAAGCCAGCGATGTCCAACCTAAATTACTCTTAGGACCAAAATTTAGGAATATACAAGGCACTGGGCCGCAACAAATCTGGAAAACTAGTGTGGTGCACGGCATCGTGCCTTAAGGCAATTTGATGGAACTTCTCGTACCTAGATGCATCAAATTTACAAATTTTGTTATTAACAGCAATATCTTATAATAAACACAACATAAACTAATGCAGAACTGCACATTTTAACATCAAAAAAGAAAAATGTTTGTCTACATTCGTAGTAAGGTGCGTCCACACCTAACCAACGAACACGAACGAACATAAATGAACGTACCAGAACGAACGGCAACAGCATCGTGTGGACGCCACAACGATCACGAACGAACATAAACAAACATGGCGAGCAATGTTCCGCAACTTGTCGGTACATCAAAGGGAATTGTTCGTTCATGTTTGAACTCGTATGTGCAGTACCATAGATAAACAAGTATAATAGATCGCTATGTCTGGCGGTTTGACGTTACCTCGATTGAAATACAATTTTTTAAAAATAGATGGCAGCACATGTATAATATTTAAATTACCCCTGGTTTTACTTCTTAATTTGTACGTATCGTAAGGGTATCGTATACAGCCCCAAAAACCTGAATAATTTTTAATATTGGAAATAAGAACAAATCATACGAAATACAAAATATATATTTTCAAAGATATTACATATGTTTAAAGAACAATTGAAATTATGTTTATATTAACAATTATAATTACAGTTATGGAATGTTTGAAAATATAATAATTATTATACATAATTATAAAAGTATTATAATTTCACAATTATGCTTAAATAATATTTCAAAAACTAAATATATAAGTGAAGAAAATCACAGAAGTATTAAACTAAACTAAGCACAAATAACTGACTAATATTAATTACTTAATGACTAATATTAATATATTAAAATCTTAAAAACTAAGAAGAAAACTACAAGCACAGGAGCACGCAATGAAATTACAAATTTAGAAGGAATGACAAATAATACAAAAATTTAAAGGGTTAAGAAAAAAACAAATAATTTGTTAAAAAGTACAAATACTTCACAAACAAAAAAGTCCTAAAAACATAAAATATATATATTGATAACAAAATTGAGAGAAATTCAAATTCCTAGGATTAAAACTCATTTACGAGACATTGTTCTTTATTAATTCTGCATGTAATAGTTATTTCGCTATCTAATGAATTAATAGTAAAGTTGCATTTAACAAAACCTTTGAATAGTTTCTGTACGAGTGTTTTATAACATTACATTTAGCCATGTTTCATCATTTCATTTTCATTGAAAACTATCATTGAAATTGCCATAAAAGATCAACAAAGTGTTTACAATGAACAGAATAATGTTTTATGCACATACAATTGTTTATGAATCAAAAGATAAAAGCAATATTTTTGATTCCCAAGGTCGGTAACAAATATATCTTGAATTTAAACATTATATTGGGATGTTACACAAGTTTTATTTGAAGAATATTATAACACTAATCTTCAATCAAAATACATTAAAATATTATGTATGGTATAGACTCTCTTTATAAGTGTTTACATTTGCTAATGTAATATATAATCTTATTAAATATAACAATAAACTTACGTTGATGAACATTTAAACCATACTAGCTGAATAACTGTTTTGCAACTTCAACAATATGAGATTCAATCCAATCATATAACAATTCCGAAGATAATGGTATTTCATCAAACATCAAAACACAGTATCTGCTACTAATACTTTTTAAAAGAAATAGCTGAACCTAATGTTTTAAATAGACACTCATAAATACCGCTATACACTTGTATCTCTGAATGCAACTTTCTCAATGTTTGAGGACATGGCAAAATAAATATTTGTCTCCAAAAATAGTAGACCTTTGGAGACTTTTTGTACGACTTATTCCTTAAATTATTGCATTGTTTATGAATCCTTCTTGTCATTACATATTGCATTCCTTGGTTGTCAAAAGTACTCCTGCGCTTTGTTAGTGCATTTTGCAGCAATTTGCAGGTACCCCCAAGACACCTATTCAATATAATAACATGTTGACATATCTTGATTATATATAATTATTGCTGCAATTATTATTAAAAAATACCTTTGCGGAAACTTGTATTGGAATAGCTAAATATTTTAACCCGCACTTGACACTTTTTTGGGTACTATAAAAACACTTTGCCATATTAAATTTCACAAATGTTCACTTAAACAAAATTAATTAAGTAGAAACAACACGAGTTCAAAAAGTTAGGTTATTCCTACAGCCATACAACGATCAAATACTTGACAGCCACCATGGGGAGTTATCTTCGAACAAATGCGCGTTGCACTGTTTTGGTCCTGAGTAGTTTCAATTTTTAAAAACAGATGGCTAATGTGCACTCAATTTCAACTACAAATTGTTCGTGGTTCATGCAAGTGGCTGTCAAGTATTTGATCGTTGTATGGCTGTAGGAATAACCTAACTTTTTGAACTCGTGTTGTTTCTAATTAATTAATTTTGTTTAAGTGAACATTTGTGAAATTTAATATGGCAAAGTGTTTTTATAGTACCCAAAAAAGTGTCAAGTGCGGGTTAAAATATTTAGCTATTCCAATACAAGTTTCCGCAAAGGTATTTTTTAATAATAATTGCAGCAATAATTATATATAATCAAGATATGTCAACATGTTATTATATTGAATAGGTGTCTTGGGGGTACCTGCAAATTGCTGCAAAATGCACTAACAAAGCGCAGGAGTACTTTTGACAACCAAGGAATGCAATATGTAATGACAAGAAGGATTCATAAACAATGCAATAATTTAAGGAATAAGTCGTACAAAAAGTCTCCAAAGGTCTACTATTTTTGGAGACAAATATTTATTTTGCCATGTCCTCAAACATTGAGAAAGTTGCATTCAGAGATACAAGTGTATAGCGGTATTTATGAGTGTCTATTTAAAACATTAGGTTCAGCTATTTCTTTTAAAAAGTATTAGTAGCAGATACTGTGTTTTGATGTTTGATGAAATACCATTATCTTCGGAATTGTTATATGATTGGATTGAATCTCATATTGTTGAAGTTGCAAAACAGTTATTCAGCTAGTATGGTTTAAATGTTCATCAACGTAAGTTTATTGTTATATTTAATAAGATTATATATTACATTAGCAAATGTAAACACTTATAAAGAGAGTCTATACCATACATAATATTTTAATGTATTTTGATTGAAGATTAGTGTTATAATATTCTTCAAATAAAACTTGTGTAACATCCCAATATAATGTTTAAATTCAAGATATATTTGTTACCGACCTTGGGAATCAAAAATATTGCTTTTATCTTTTGATTCATAAACAATTGTATGTGCATAAAACATTATTCTGTTCATTGTAAACACTTTGTTGATCTTTTATGGCAATTTCAATGATAGTTTTCAATGAAAATGAAATGATGAAACATGGCTAAATGTAATGTTATAAAACACTCGTACAGAAACTATTCAAAGGTTTTGTTAAATGCAACTTTACTATTAATTCATTAGATAGCGAAATAACTATTACATGCAGAATTAATAAAGAACAATGTCTCGTAAATGAGTTTTAATCCTAGGAATTTGAATTTCTCTCAATTTTGTTATCAATATATATATTTTATGTTTTTAGGACTTTTTTGTTTGTGAAGTATTTGTACTTTTTAACAAATTATTTGTTTTTTTCTTAACCCTTTAAATTTTTGTATTATTTGTCATTCCTTCTAAATTTGTAATTTCATTGCGTGCTCCTGTGCTTGTAGTTTTCTTCTTAGTTTTTAAGATTTTAATATATTAATATTAGTCATTAAGTAATTAATATTAGTCAGTTATTTGTGCTTAGTTTAGTTTAATACTTCTGTGATTTTCTTCACTTATATATTTAGTTTTTGAAATATTATTTAAGCATAATTGTGAAATTATAATACTTTTATAATTATGTATAATAATTATTATATTTTCAAACATTCCATAACTGTAATTATAATTGTTAATATAAACATAATTTCAATTGTTCTTTAAACATATGTAATATCTTTGAAAATATATATTTTGTATTTCGTATGATTTGTTCTTATTTCCAATATTAAAAATTATTCAGGTTTTTGGGGCTGTATACGATACCCTTACGATACGTACAAATTAAGAAGTAAAACCAGGGGTAATTTAAATATTATACATGTGCTGCCATCTATTTTTAAAAAATTGTATTTCAATCGAGGTAACGTCAAACCGCCAGACATAGCGATCTATTATACTTGTTTATCTATGGTACTGCACATACGAGTTCAAACATGAACGAACAATTCCCTTTGATGTACCGACAAGTTGCGGAACATTGCTCGCCATGTTTGTTTATGTTCGTTCGTGATCGTTGTGGCGTCCACACGATGCTGTTGCCGTTCGTTTTGGTACGTTCATTTATGTTAGGTGTGGACGCACCTTAAGCCATACATAAGGAAATCTAAGATCTAAGGATCTAAGCATATACTTATTATTATCCATAGATAAATAAGCAAATAAGCTATGATACTAAGTCATAGACCTTATACAACTTCATAATTATTTTAATTATAATTATTATTTATAAGTATTGTATAAGGTCTTCTTTTATCTATGGGTCTGTAGCGACCTGGCAACCCACATCGCACCTCAATTTGACAGTTAAACATTATCTTTGGCTCATCATGTTGGCAACACTACGCGAGAACCAAAGTGCAAGCTTTAGGGTCGGAACTCTCTCTTCCGTCTGCTGCCGAACAGTCAACATCATAAATTACAATACTTTCCTTTTCATTTTCAATACTTAAATATTATGTACATCTTATAAATAATAAATATAATCGCACGTAGTGTTGTTACTATTTCATTATAAATAAAATATATTATATATAGACCACAGTTTCTATAATTGGTGACCCCGAAAGTGAATAAAAAACACGCATAAAGTGAGAAGGAAGTGAAACATGTGCATAATTTACAAGTGAGCAAGAAATACAGAACGTTCTAGTACCTACAATGGAGATTCCGACCACGCACATTGAAATCAACAACAACACGTGCTCAATAAATCACTCATTAACCTGGAAAATGAGTCGATTTTAAGCACCACGGCAGCGGACAGGGAGCACCAAGCAAACATGGCAAACGCCATACAACACGGCCACAATCAAGCGAACAACGCACCAAGCAAACATGGCAGCAATCGCCATACAATACGGCCACAAGCAAGCGAACAACGCACCAAGCAAACATGGCAGCAACCGCCATACAAAACGGCCACGGCCACAAGCAAGCAAACGATGCACCAAACAACATGGCGACCGCCAGCAAAAACGGCCACGGCCACAAACAAACAAAAATTAATCAAACAAAAACTTAAAAAAAAAAACTCAACAAAAATTTACAAGAAAATTCAAGATGGCAGCCCGAAGTTCAAGATAAACTTTTCGCCGGGGGAGAGTGATCTGTAGCGACCTGGCAACCCACATCGCACCTCAATTTGACAGTTAAACATTATCTTTGGCTCATCATGTTGGCAACACTACGCGAGAACCAAAGTGCAAGCTTTAGGGTCGGAACTCTCTCTTCCGTCTGCTGCCGAACAGTCAACATCATAAATTACAATACTTTCCTTTTCATTTTCAATACTTAAATATTATGTACATCTTATAAATAATAAATATAATCGCACGTAGTGTTGTTACTATTTCATTATAAATAAAATATATTATATATAGACCACAGTTTCTATAGGTCCTTATCTATGTATGGGTCTATGTACTAAGCATATACTCTTCTTTTATCTATGGATCTAAGTTTCGTCGTTTCGTCAAAACGGTTGACATGTTAACGAGAAACAAACGGTAAAAAAGCTTATTGTTTTGGTTTTAACGTTCATCAGTACGAATAACCAATAACTACGTTTTCAACAAATCGGTTGATTTTTCGATAGGTTTCTAGCGCTTTCTTGCGTCAATGGTTGATTATTGAATTGGTATATTGTTTGCTGGAGGTTGATTGGTTAAGGAGGAAGAAACGGGCTAATGACAAAATCAAGTATAACATTTATTGTATTTGTTGTATAAGTTATTCAGTCATTTTATAAAAATGGACATAACCACGAAGTTTATTCAGGACATTTTGTACCTAGAAAATACAATATCATTATTTAATGAAAAGTACATGATAGATAAGTCCATATTCGATCACGACTTACAATGTAATCTTCAAATGTTTTATAAAAAAATCACTTATCTGGAAAAGATGTGGTCTAGAAATTTGGCAGGCGAAATAAGTTATTCTAATTGTTTAGATAATATGATTAAAACATCGTCAAATAAATTAGATACTAGTAAGTACAAATATAACATACAACAACGTTGGAGTACTAAACATACTACATATAATAAAATTACTTATTAACAGTAACAGTAACAGATGACTTACGTCTATTGTTTAGTTGTATTTAACATAATATACTTTGTATTGTAATATTGTATGATATATACTCTATATGGTTAGTACTCCAGTGTCAATTTTGCTTCACATAATATCTTTATTTAATTTAATTTTGATTGTTATATATTACAGTATCTGAAATAAAGCAATCGTATCCCCACATTTCTGAAAAGATCTTATCGAAATTGATTAATATGAACAAATTTAATGAACTTGCTATTGTTTTAAACTTTAACCTGCGATACACTTGTGTTATTTGTTCAAAAAGATTAAATACTGAGCATGAACTGTTTACACATTGCAATAGTCATAAGCATAATAAAACGATTTCTGACAAAAAGAGTTTTTTGTCATTACAATCTTATTCGAACTATTGGGAAATTCATAAAAGACATTACATTCATAAATATGTTGTTTATCCTCATACACAAGATGCAATTTATTGCTGGGGATGTGGAATTGTATTGTGTCTTGATGATGCAACTTTTAATGAACACTTTTTGTCGAGTGATCATGTATCTACAGCTGCTTACAAAGCACTTATGATAGATAAACTGAATTGGAGTAATCTTACAAATAAGACTGATGAATTTCAAAGTTATCCTTCCAATAAAAAAATTATCGACATTCCCGAATTAAATAAAAATCAGTTGTCTTCATCTCAAATTAAAAATAACATAACAGAAGAAGCTGCCCTTGTGACATCTGATATACTATCCAAAAATATTAGTGGTAGTGAAATTATTTCCGAGAGCGAAGTTAGCTTGTTTGCGGAAGTAATGTCAAAGGATAATTTGATTCAGTAAGTTAATCTCTAATAATTTATCTAGTGTTTTAATAAATATATCCGTATACAGAATTTGCGTAAAACTAGGGTATATGTTATAAAATATATAGGTTTGATTTATTAATTGCTAAATTAATTAGATTGCTATTAATAAATAAAAACTTGCTGTATTATGTAATCATAGACTTTAAAATGATAATTTTTATGGATCTGCAAAATTCCATAAATTCTGACATTATTTTTTGTTCTAGATATAACTTCTGCTGTAACTATAGTTACAAATATATATATATATATATATATATATATATATATATAGTTTCTATATATATATAGTTTTTATATATTACAGAATCTGTGAAAAACTCAACTATTGCCTCCAATGTGATAAGTTATTACGATCATCCGGCACATCTCACATATCCGGTAAAACTCATAAGAGCAATCAACATATAACTCCATCTTTCAAATCGAGTGATATTTTAGTCTGTCTTGTTTGTAATCTAGTTTTTTTTAATGAAGAAACATTTAATATGCATATAAAACAGACAAGCCATATTGATCTGTAAGTCTCTTCATTACTAATGAAAACTATTTATTTTATTAGAATACTAAGTGGATTTATTTTTTGTAGGAGTTTTCTTCAGAAAGATTGTCCAAAGTGTCATATAAAATTATTTGGTTCATTGGAAATCATTTATCAGCATGAACACTTCATATCAAAATCTAAAGAAATACCAGTTAATGGTGGTGAGTTATTTATCTGAAATCATTAAATTATCTTTCTTATATTAAATTTAATAAGTTTTATTTTAACTTTACTTACAATAAATATTACGGTAAGTGGAATATAATATTTTTTATTAATAGTTGAGAAAGAGAAAGATCTCAGAAAAGAGCAAAATCATTTTGTAGAGCCGCAAGGTTTTGAAAACGAAGTAAGTGATATTGTTGCTGAAAATCAACCAAATTGTTTTAAAAATGAAAGAATTGAGATTAAAAGTAATTTAGATAAAACAAGAGAAATTAAAAAGGAAGTGCACAAAGTACAGCATGAAATAAATAATTTGAAACAGAAAAATATTCAAAGTGAAAATATTGCTTTGAGAAAAGAAAGGCTTGATTTAAATAATGAAGAAAATGTGAAAAATGTAGAGTTTAAAAGCACAATAAATAACGCCCAGTCAAAGGAAAAGTGTAGCTATGCTGTTGCTGAAATAAATAGCTTATCAATTTATAATGCATCTCTTGTCACCAATTGTTTGTTGTGTTTAGTTCATTTGAGCAAAAATAGTAAAACTATTTTACAACATGTAAATGGATCAAGGCATACAAAAAATTACCGAAATAGTGAGTCGATAATGTTGCTTAAACCTTTTATAAATAAAATTTTTTACATGCTAAAAAATGACAAAGACGATGTATTTCGTCAAAACATAGATTTTTTATTTCCTTATACAAAAAAAGCTGTTCTCTGTAAATTATGTGATGATGAAATTTCAAATAAGGCAAAGGATATACTTATTCATTTTAAATCATCTAAACATATTAAAAATCGTAAAAGCTACATAAAAAATTTTGAGAAAAGTAAACTCATGGTAAGAAGAAGAAGGGAATTAAAACAATTTTATGAATGTTTGGAAAACTCATGGGCAAAAATAAAACAGGATCACATATATAATAAAGTCTTTTTTGGGTAATTATTGTATTGAAGTTTTCAGTATTATATTCTATGTATTTTGATTAAACAACTATTTTTGTGTTTTTTAGGTTTGATGATGAAAATAATTATTTCTGCGATGTATGTAACATTGATATTGATATTTTTAATGGGAAATCTTTGAAAAATCATATTGAAGGTCATCTTCATAAACATAATCTCTCCCGAATCAACTTATCACACAGATATTACTGCCACCCATGTAATTTGGCAATGCAAAATGTTAAATTATATGAAATGCATTTATCAGAATCTCAGCATAAAAACAGGTAGATATTTTCGTGGCATAATTTTAGTCTTATCTAATTAACATAAATGATTTTTTTTTGCAAACCGTAGTGGTCAAAACTGCATTGATTTTAATCAGAATCTTCAATTTTTTGCCCTCTTTCAAAAATGACAATGCCCGTTAGATCATACTGGAAACATTAATATTACAAATAGAAATACAAAAACATTTTTTCTAAAGATTTTTGAAGGATATGGGGGTGTTTCCACATAGAATCAGCCTACCCTAGGATTTGAATGATTTATATGCAATTTTATGGTTCTCCTTGAAAAAATCTGATAAATATCGAAACCCTTAAGCGCCGCGTTGCAGTCTAACGGATAAACAATGATACGGAACCCAAAGGAATGTAAACAAAATTTTTATTTATTATTAAAATTTTTATAAACTATCTGAAAATTTAATGCATTCAATATCTATCTATCTAATTATATTCATCTATATATCCAGTATATGTACATTTGTCTAATGATCAAATTTGACCGCAAATTGTTTTTTTTTTTACTTTTTTTTATTGGATCTCCGAAACCGCTAGACCTCCCTTCCCAAAAACTGAACTAGATAGTTCTTCATTTCATCAATAAAATGTTTTATAACTTATTCATATTGGACGCTCCTTATCTTAAAAAAAACTGAATTACCATTTTTGCCTATGCCAAAAACAAATCAGCACATCTCCAAATCAATTGCTTTTAAATTTTTGAAATCGGTCTAGTCGTTTTTGAGAAAACGTCGACATTCGGGAAGTTAAAAATGAACTGAATTTTGTCTTTGCATTTGCAGATTAATTTCATTCCAAAAAACTGGAAGTAAGGATGCAGTATTTTCAGATTTGATTTGTCAGGAGTGTGGTTTAAAAATTTTCTGTGATACAAAATTTTTACCTAAACATGAGCATATTACATTCACATTTAACACGGAAACCGGTAAGACATTTAATATTTCATTATTAGAGATAAGTCCCAATATTACAAATATTTGCTGTAGAGAAGCAAAAAGCAATGTTTTGTCATTAAAATGATGAATTCATATTTTAAATTTATTGTATATGTTACAGCATTATTTAATTAGTACTTTTTCTATTTTGGTTTTCAATGAATAAGAATTTAACTTTAAGCACAAATAGATTTGCAAAAATATGATAATATGAATATATTCATATTATCGCTGTTTTGTTTTCATAAATAATGAACATTTGCAAAATAAATAGTGTTAGGTATTATTATTGCCAGATGAATAATACATTGTGATAATTAATTATGACAATTTTCATGCTGATATATTTTTAAGATGTATATTAACAAGTTATTTAACAATAAGTCTTTTATGTACTATATTTTCCTTGGGAGTCTTTTATGTACTATATGAATTTGAGATTTAACATGTTAATTGATTATTGTGGTTATTAATTCTATTGCACTTTTATTGGTTTCTATTGGCATTTTGTTAGTGACATTATAAAATGTGGAAATTTAGTATCTATTGAACTTGTGACATCACTATGTGTATTTATATATAAAATATTTGTCAATAAGTTTTTTTTTTGTGTGTACTTGTTTGAATGGTTCTTATACTAATATATTTAGATTTTCTGATTTTTTTGTTTTAGAAGCAAATATGTGTATTGACAACACGAACAAAATCGATTCAGAAATAAATTCTAAATCTAATTTTGAGCAGAAAAAATATATGGAAGCTTTTAATACTTTAGACACAGCTACAAAGTATTATTTGGAAGATGGAATAAACGCTAACAATGTAGAAGTAATGATAAACTCAATTAATAGTACCATATATGATAAAGATACATTCTGCTTAGCTGCTTCTGCGAGTGCTCCTAATAATTATGGTGTTGACAGTAAAAACAATATATCTGAAGCACCAACCATGAACGATAAAAATGTTTGGATATCGGATGTGGGAAATGATTCAAAAATGGCTATATGTGAATTGACACTGAAATCATGTGAAATTGATAATGAAAGATATGAAACTGAACCAAATCATAAAAGTAATTCATGTGGTCATTCAGAGTCAGAGTTTTGTGCAGTTTTTAATATGCTGGTTGATACAAGTTCGAAATATTACACAATTGGAATAAATGTTAATATGAAGCATTTATAAATTTTAGAAGTTTTTATATTGCTCAAAAGCAAAAAATACTGTTTATTGTTACAAAATATATTAGTGTTATTGACAGCCAGATACGAGAGGCCGCAACAAGATATTATAACTATGTTATTATATTTCTATAAATTGTATTCCTAATTTTATAACTTTGTCTAAATAAACTAAAAAATTTACAACTTTGTATATTTGTGAAATTTATTATCTAACTAAACAAACCTCCTAAAATGTTATGGGCCTATGACAAGTAGTTAATTATAAAAATTCAAACAAGTTTCGAATTATAGGCCGTATCTATGGTTGTGTTTATTTTTAATTTAACAAGTACTTGCCGAAATTAATTAATTAATTTTCCAATAATATTCAATAGTTTCTAACACAAGGCGACGTAACAGCAAATCGATGTACATACTTATAAACCACTCAATTATTTATAAATTCATTTCTTATTGCAGCAAAATATCACATACTAGTTTAATTTTATATTTATAAATATTATCTACTTTTCAAGAGAGCCCTCTTTATTAAAAACGAACAAAACATTTGTGTATTTATAATATAATACTATAGTAATGTTCCAAGTTGAATCAAGTGTTTAACAACCTGATTCGGAACACACTTTTTTACTTGATTCGAATCAACTCATATCAAACTGAAAAACATTTAATGTGATGTTCTAAATCAGATAATTTATCTGCCTGAGATAAATTATATGTATGAACATATTATATTACAATGAATATAAAAAAATAATTTAAAAATGAATAAATAAATTAAAAATAATATAAATATAGAAATTAAAAAATGAACTAAATCTTGTGAAGTCATCCGACTCCTGGCCCGAATCGTGCGAGCCATCCGACTTCTTTCCAATCAAAATAACATTTGACTGTGAGTCATTAATCGAATAACTTATACTATTCATATAACATTTGTGCCGAGTAAGAAACGTAAGTTTATTGAAATAATTCCTATATTATTCGTAGTTTCTATAAATCTCAGTTATTAAAATAGAAAATATTTTCATATGCAAGACAGATAGTACAGCTGCTCAAAGAATGAGACTGTTTCGCCAGCGAAAAAGTAAAAAAAAAAAAACAAGCAGTTAATGAATGTTTGTTAATTTTATTTACATGAAGTTCTTCAATGACAATTACATGATGTAAGTGATTATACTTGTTTATCTATGTAAGTGATATTGTGAAAAGAATGTTTATTATTTAGGCGTTTAACATAATAATAATTCTATGCACTTTTATAGATATTAAATAAGAATGTTAAAGCAACACAGCTTTATTCTATCATGCCGAAGATATCATAACTACACTAATTTATGTTGTAATTCATTAAGATATTTGGCCTTGATGATAACGCTGGTGTCATCCGCAAAAAGAATAAAATCACAAAGATTTGTACAATGGGGTATATCATTAATATATATGAGAAATAGGATCAATAGCCTCTCCTAGGAGAGGTCCTAAAATTTATCCTTGGGGCACACCTAATCTATTCGTCAATTTATCCGAAATTATTTGTGTTCGATTAGACAGGTAAGATTCAAATAGTTTAAGCGAACGTCCGCGAATACCACAATTTTCTAATTTGTCAAAAAGTCTTTGATGAGAACTACTATCAAAAGCTTTAGATAGATTGCAAAATATTGCAGTGCAATATGTGGCTTCTTTGAAGGAGTCAATGATGTTATGAACTAAATTATAAATTGAGTGGGAAGTAGAATGGTTCTTCCGGAATCCATGCTGGCTCTTGGACAAAATATTACATTTATTGAGAAAAGACGTTAAACTAGTATGCAAGATTTTTTCAATTATTTTATCAAAACAGTTCAAAAGGGAAAAGGGACGGTAATTATTTATATCGTCTTTATTATTTTTCTTATGAAGTGGAATGCTTATGAATGCTTAAGGTGGGATGGAAATATTTCTTCATCGAAGCATTTATTTAAACAGAGCATATTACAAAAAAGGTATAGAATTTTTTAAGAATAAAGCTAGGTATCTGATCTGGACCCGCTGAACTTATTAACTTCTCGTAGGGTATATGGTAATCGCAAAAAAATCGAAAATGAAAATGTTTGCATACCTTTACGTTTCGAAGGTTTCTGAACATTTTGGCGTACCTTAGAAAAAATGGATATGTGTGTGTGTATGTATGTATGTATGTATATGTTTGGATACAGTTTTTCGTCCACGATTTCGGGCGCACGGATCAACCTATTTGAATTATGAAAAAAACATTCAATTTCTATTGATGGAAACATGTGCTGATTAGTTTTTGACAAAGCTGTTTCGAAGATACAGGGCAAAAAGTGCCAAAAACGGTAATTCAGTTTTTGAGAGAACAGAGCGCCCGATTTGAATGATTCAAAAAACATTTTACTTGTATTGACCAAATGAAAAATTGATTAAATTTTTGGTTAGGCAGGTCTAGCGGTTTCGGAGATACAGATAAAAATGTAGAAAAAAAAAGATATTTGGCGGTCTAAAATTATCATTATAATGATATGTCTATAGACATATGCACATCAAATTATCAGATATTTTAATAATAAGAACAAATGTTGTTACGTTTTTTTTAGGTTTTGTACCAAAATTTATAATTTTTGAAGTTCAGTTTTTTTTTCAAAATTTACAAAAATATACAAAGTTTTATACTTTAAATATAAATTTTAAATTCACTATTTTATTTTAAAGAAATATATCTTCAGATGGATTCATTCGGAATTCTTCTTATGCTCTTAATGTAAACATTTTCAAGTGTTTTGAGCGATAACATCGTCACCTTATAATATATGAACCAACGAATATATAGTAATTATAATTATCTTTTTAAAAATATTCAAAGAATATTTAAAACAATTGTTATTATTCATTGATCAATATTTTTTGATGATTAATTTTTTTATCGGAATATTTAATTCTGGTACGGGAAGTTCAAGCAATGTGCCTTAAGGCACAATGTCATGCCCACTAGTTTTTACTTAAATGATATCTCTACACTCTTCTTTTATCTATGATCTCGTATATATATATGATCATAGGTCATAAATATAATATTTATAACTGATCATGAATGATGTAATTATTCTATTGTACATTGTACAATGTACACCTCCCATTGTCATTTCGTGGAACTTCTAATTTATTTTTTGTGGACCCTTTGAAAGTGGTCATGGACCCTGGCTGGACACCATATGGCCTACTTCGGAAATCACTGTTCAAACTGTAAGCGAGCAGAAGCAGTCGGTCTAACGTGATGTATAATATGCGCAGATTAATAATTTCTAACAAAAGCGACCCACGCGCATATCAAAATCAAAATCCATGTTCGTTCGTGCTCGTTCGCTAGGTGTGGATGCACCTTTACGTGAGGACGCACCTTAACGCGTTGAGTTTGACACTTTGAAAGTCATGTGACCATCGAAACAGAAATTGTATTTTTTGCAACGAGTATATATCAACAAAGTATATTTTATATGTCGTTTTTGTTTTATAAATTTTTGATTATGCAGATTTTATTTTGATCTAATATGATTTAATATAGAGCAAACAAAAACTATTTATGACCAATTTAGTCACTTGTTAACTTCTGTATATTTTCGAAATTATGAATATAACCACAAAATTCATTCAAGATATTCGAAATTTGGAAAATACTATTGCTTTGTTCATAGAAAAATATGCAACCGATAAGACAATTCTTAATGATGAATTGCAATGTAGTCTTCAAATATTCTGTAAAAGAATATTATACTTTGAAAAAATTTGGTCTAGAAATTTAGCTGGCGAATCAAATTATTTAAATTGTTTGGATAATGCAAATAAAATACCACTAGAAACATTTGCGACTGGTATGTACAATTTACACTATTTATATTATTGAATTAACTTAGTTTATTAGAATTGTTTTATGCCAGATCTTTGTTGAGAAAATTGAAAGAATTTTTAATATAACCTAAGTCATTCAAATCAAGTGAACACATATGTTTTCATAGATTAGGAAAATTACATGTTATGCTTGAATTAATATATGATAAAACTCATAAATAACATCATAACATGAATATAATCTATCAGCTTCATTTCGTAGAGGCAAGGTTTTTTTTTTTAACCCAAATCGTTTAATGTATTTCTTAACCTTGTATCTTCTAGATTGCTATTATATATTGAATCAAAATTTTCAAATAATTTTAACTAGATTGTATGACTCAGTTTCCTTAATTATGATATGACTCTTGTTTTTGAAAAACATTAATCAAGAAAATACAGTTTTATTTTATAAGGCAATACTTACAATACTAGTCGAATACGATTTATATATTTTTTAAAACTATTTTATAATTAGCAACTTATCTACAGAAATTTGATGAATTTCCATTAATTTTCAATTGTGATAACCAATACAATTTGTTGAGAAACAGTAGTCATTGGTTTCGATCTTCTTCATATTGGAAAATATTGTTATTCCACATTAATCTCAGATGAGAAAACACTTAAACATTAAAGACACACTAAAAGGATATTCAGATTATTGGCAATATATGGCATATAATTTGGTAACATCTTGAAGGAGATTTGCAATTTTCTATTATTTGTACAATAAATATTTAGTGATTATTTTTTATTGCATGATCATATGTCTTCAATTTCTTATAATGAATTGTTAATAAAATTCAAGCTAACAATAACAAGAATAATGACACACAAAAATCTGAATTATCTTCTTCTGCTGGTAAGCTATTAGAGTATAGGTACTCTATACAAGATTTAATAGAGTTAGCTCCAGAGCACGAAAAACATGCTTGCAATGAAAATATAAAAAAGCTGATTCAGTCATCATTCAACTCTGGATGTATTAAATTATGTGATAAAGCATCAGTTCAAAAACCCAAGGTTGATGTGAAATTGCTTCCTAAAAAAGAAATATTATGCACAGAAGTTATTCAGTAAGTTGAAACAGATATGCATAGAACATTCTTTTGCATGTTGTTTTATTTATTGCTAGACATATGTAAACAATGATACAAATGAGCAATTTAATGTTAATCTATAAGATATATAAGCAATATAATGTTTTCACAAATTTGTTCTGCTCATATTGACAAATTTAAATTAAAATCATTTTATTTTGCTCATTTGAGTTTAAAATGTGTATTAAAGATAGTTGGATTTAAAAAATAATTACAGATTATATGACAAGCATCATTATTGTATGCTGTGCTACATATTTCTCAATTCCAAAGATATACCAAATCATATTGTATCCAAAAACCATATAAAAAGACAGAAATATAGGTTATCTTCAATTAAGGCAAAGAAAGCATATTTTTGCTTCATCTGTAAAACTGTTTCTTTTGATGCTGAACTATTTGCAGTTCATATACAACAAACAACTCATAAGCATCCGTGAGTAGCATTTAACAATTATTAGTTTCATACATATTGTATTTTATCTTTTCAATACTAATTTTTATTATAGGCAATACATTCAAAAAGAGTGTTTCAAATGCCATATACAATTTTATGGAGCCACAGATAATATTTATGAACATAAACATTTTAAATCGGAACTGGAGCAAGAGGTGGAATCTGGTAAAGTATATTGAATTATCTTTCCTCAACTTCTCACTAAAGACTTAGTATCATATTGACTAATCACTAGATGCAGTGTAATGTTTTGCAATATTAAGTGATGTAGTGAATAATAGTTGATAAATTATTTTATTCAATTAACTGTTTAAGCTTTTGTATTGTATCAATACTAGAAACAATGCATTTTTTAACTTTCTGAAGGAATATGTGTGTGGTTTGTATGGGAGACAAAATTTGATTTATCGTTAACATTTTTTTAAAAGGCAAAGGCAGTCCAGGTTTGGAGATACGGAGCTAAATATGCAAAAATTGCACTTTTTGAGAGAAGGAATCATCGGATTTGAATGATTCACAAAACTTTCCGCTTCTGTTGACGAAACGATTGTTTTTAAGAAAAGAAAAAAAAATTCTCTTAAAAAAAAATTTAATATCAAAAATAATTTAGATTTTAATTTTAATTGTAGTTCAAGTTCTACGGCTCACTTATGTAATTCAAATAAATAATTCTAACTTTGCAATTCATCAGGCAAAAATGTATGAAAATCACCCTTTTTTGTTTCAATATATATATTTAGTTTAAACTTTTGCAAAAATTTTGAAAAAAAAGACAGATATGATGAATAAGTATTTTTTTAAATTTTATGCATATTTTTTTATTTTGTGGGAATCTTTGTTTTTCCTGAGAGATTTCTATTATATTTTTATTATAAAAATTTTAATTAAAACGATGCAATTCAATTTTTCTGACAATTTTTTTTTTATTTCGAAGATCCTTTATATACATATATATATTATAAATTCTGAAAATGTTATTGAAACATATATAAATTTGAAACATTTTTTAATCATATGCAATTAATCATTCTCTCAAAATTATGACTTCGTTTTTCAAATGTGTGAAATATAAACTTTGAAATCAATGTTTGCGGTTATATTACTGTTTCGTGTAATGACTTGAGCTGATATTGAGACATCTTCGATACATTTATAATCAAATTTACAAACCTTCAAATAGAATTATCTCTAAACATATAACACACATTCATATTTCTCTCTTTTTCTGTCAAATGCTTTTTAACATTATTGAAAAATTAATCTACATGAAGTTCAAAAACACTACATTGTTTAGCATGAAAGTCATATACTTTTTATGGGCATCAATTTATGATAAATATAAAATTAAATTTTCGTGTATAGTGTGAACAGGACCGTGCCTGGGTATGTGGCACAGCAAAATATCAAATGTGTTCTCACAAAAAAAATTGGCTTATAAATTTTATGTTTTCTCGACATTTCAATTCATTCTGGATCGTTTGAGACAAAATTTAATAAAAAGTGTGCATATGAGCTAATTTTTGACTTTTTGCAAACGTTTTCTCAAAAACGGTTAAATCGATTTCTGTAACTAGATAAGAACTAGCGTCTGCCAGTTATGTGCAACAATCGGCCATGCCGTTTATAATCAACAAAAAAGTCTAAAAAAATTGTACACGTTTTAACCAAAAATCCTGCGTCGATTTTAAAAACCCAGAAACTATTCGAAAGATATCATTTGGAAATCGTCCTGATTAGTTTTGGAGATCGATCGGGTCGTTTCTTCGTATTTAATTGTTAAATATTTTTTACCGTGATATTTAATATTTATTTAACTTCATTGGCGATAGAGATCATGGTCTCAAGTATACCTAAATATTTCGACCCTACAAAGTTGTTTTATTTTAAAAATACTATCAAAGTTTGAAAAAATAAGCAGCGTTTTTTTACGTGAGTCAAAAATTCATCTTTAGTCGACGTGTCCTTTAAAATACGCAATCCTATATGAAAAATTGATGAAATTCGATAAGCACTCGTGCTGGTTAGTTCTGCCGAGCCGTTTCTTTAGTATTATCAAAAAACTATCAGATTTTTGGCACACGTTATGAATTCGTAAATTGATTTTGAAAATTCAAATACCATTACAAAATTACTATAGGGTATGCCATCTAACATTTTTCATTTTCATTTTTTTTTCAACGCTCAGCCGAGACTTTTTTTTTCATTTTTGAATGAAATTATTATAATCATTATTAAATGAATTAATTTCATTATTAACTGAAAGGATAAAAAATAAAAAAATAAATTTTAGAAAATATTCAGTAGTTTGTAAAAAAAAATATTTGGCGGACCCTATATTTGAGAATCGTGCTGATTTTAAGTTTTGCCGCCTCTTAATCCAGCGGTCTTTTAATTTGGCCGCCTTTTGTTTCAGTGGACTTTTAATGCGACCGCTTTTTATTACGGCCGCTTTCGTTATGGCCGCCTTTGAATTTGCTCTTTTTCTTATTTGGCCGCCCCTCGGCCGCCTGCCTGCGTGCTGGCCACACGCTGGCCAGGCACGGCCCTGAGTGTGAAAGATTTCTCGTGCAGTGCTCAAATGAGCTATTATTGAAAATAGTTCTTTAACTAACAAGGGATGATATGCATGATATCGGGCTGGTCAGCATCTATGAATAATAGCAGTCATATTGATTTTTACTGTGTTAATAACTGCTTTGTGAGTAAGATATGTACAAAATATTATAAAAAATAATAAATTAAATTGCCATTTGCTGTATACCAAATTCTACTTATACTGAAGTATTTCATATAAAAAACGAAAACAGCATAAATAGTATAATTTTACTGAGAACAAAAACGAATGAATTTAAAATTTATCTTCACTGAAAATATTTTACAGATAATTGTTAGTTTTTGTTATTTTATATGATTAATAAGAATTATTGTTTGCAGTATTGCAGATTAACAATGATTTAAATGGTCCAAATGATTGGTCCAGTGATTGGATCACTGTACGTAATGTGAATTTTATTAATAGATATGCTATATATAGAGCAAATTTGTTTGATAATTGTTTGTTGTGTAACGTTAATATATGCAAGGGAGAATTAAATATTTTGACGCATATAAAAGGATCTAAACATGAAAAAGGATTGAAAAATGATGATAAAATAGACTTAATTAGGCCATTTTTAAATCGACTTGATAATTACATGAAGGATGACAATGACAACATATTGCTTTCAAATAGAGATTTCATATTTCCTTATTCTAAAAGGACAATTTATTGCAAACCATGTAATAAGGAAATTGATGTTAGACAAAAAAAAATATTCACACATTTAAAAACTATGGATCACATATCACAATGCGAATCTGTAATCAAGAGTAGTTCGGGAAAATTGACACTTTTGAACAAAGAAGTTTCATTAGAGAAAGATCACATAGGTAACTTGGTGTCTGATAGAAATAAAATCATGTATTCTAATGGTTTATTTGCAAACATCTCGACAGGTGTTATGAAAGTTAGTTCTCATGATGCATTCAAAAATAAACAGGAGATTGAAGGACAAAACATTTGTGTCAGTTTTATGAAAAGTAATGTACCAAATAATTGGAATCGGATAGATTCTAGAATTGACCCAGTAGAAGACAATAACATATTTATTGATGACAGCGTTAGTGCTTTTATTAAATGCATTGAAAGTTCATGGGCAATTGTTAAACCGATGTATATATATAACAGAATTTTTTTTAAGTGAGTATGAATTAAATAAATAAATATAAATATTATAACTAGTAAATATAACTATATATTTTATATTTTTATATAATTTTTTCTTATATTTTTTAGTTTTACTGATGGTATATATTTATGTACTTTATGTAATAATGATATTGATGTTTCTGCCAATGTTTTTTCCATAAAGAATCACTTGGAGAGCATTACTCATAGAAATAATGCATTACTGGTAAATTTATCACATCGATATTATTGTTATTTATGCGACTTAATGATTCAGAATGAGAAATCATATTTAACTCATAAATCACAAAAGGCACATAAGGAAAGGTATGGAATGTATTTGTACTCTAACAATTCATTTTTCTATTATTTTACTAATTTTGGTATTTAAATTTACACTTGATTTAATAAAAAAAAATTAAATTAATTAGAATATATACCAGTTAATTATGGAGTGCATAATTATGCAGACCTAAGTGGTGTGTTTGCATGCTTTATGTCATAAAGCCTTAAATAAATGAATTTATTTAAGGCTTTATGACGTAAAGCATGTAAGCATGCACTTAGGTCTGTAAACATGTACTGAACTAGTGGTGCATGGCCTTGTCCTCAAAAGATTTAATAATATTTCATATATTTAAAAAAATAGATTTTTATGAATTGGGAAATTCTTGAAAAAATTAAACCCTTTTTGAAAAGCTAATTTTTTTTCATAGAAAATGCATATAAATATAAATAAATTTATTTATATTTTTATGGATTTTCTCACTTAAGTACTCACTTATGTGAGTACTAATTTCACTGAAATGTTTGTTAATTTGATTTGCATATTTTCAATGATCATTTTTGGCCGCCAAATATAATTTGTTTCACACTTTTTCTCCGAAACCGCTGGGCCTACCACATGCACAAACACATACATCATTTTTTTCTAACGTATGCTAAAATGTTAAGAAATCTTTGAAACGTAAAGATATGCAAAAAATTTTATGTTTTCGAGATAACAGAGTATATGATTTGAATTATTCATAAAACATTCAATTTGTAATGATTGGGAGACGTACTAATTAGTTTTTGACAAAAATAAGTCAATTTTTTTCGGAGATACGGAGCTATAAGAATGCCAAAAATTGTAATTTTTGATAGAACGAAGCACCCAAATTCAATGATTCAAAAAACATTTTGCTAGTATTGAAAGTTTGAAGAAACTATTAGTTTTTGATGAGAAAGCCAATTTTTTTTTATTACGAAAAAATAGTTTTGAAAATATCGAAATTGAGTCGAATTTTAATTTTAATTCTAGTTAAAATTTTAAATCTCACTTATATACTTGAAACAAATATTTTTATTTTGCAATTCACTTTATATAATTCTTAAAGTAATATATTACACTACGTATTTATAAATATGTAACATATTTCTAAATATGTAAATGTCGTCGACTTATATTTTCTGTATAAAATACAAATAATGAAAGTTACAGTATTTGTAATAATCTATTTGAAATCATTTAAAATTTCTCTATTATTTTATTACATTGAGTATTCTTCGACGGCGTTGTTCCAAAAACGGCTGAACCGGTTTAAAAAATTTAAAAGCCATTCCATGTACCTTTATTAAAGACTAGCGTTTATTAATTTTGCCCGACGATCGGCCGAATAGTTTTTCTATGATTGAAAGTTCTGAATCCTGAATGGATTATAATGGTCCGATTCGATTCAGTGATTTAAAATTTCAAAAAAACATAAAATTTGAAAATCGGATTTTTTGACGAAAACGTCAAGATAGTTAAACTATTTACCTAGTTTTACTGCACTTTGAGTAATAAAAAACAAATTAATAAATATTTAAAATCTTAATGAAACAAGTGATTTATCTATATCAAACGATCAAAATAATATTGAATAATTGTCTTCTTTATTATAAAATATTTTAAAGCCGCAGAATAAGCTAATAGTTTGTCCAAATAATACCATTGTTTTGATGTATTTTTTATGAAGATTTATTCTTTAGTTAAATATATTATATTAAGACTGTCATTTAGTATCTCAAGTAATATACACCTAAGTCTGTTTTTACACGGTCTTTTTGTACACGGTTTTGATATAACACGGTTTAAAAATTGAATATTTTTAGTTTTTTTACACGATTTTATTCCATTTAGCACGATTTGAAATTTTATGTACTTAAATTTTTTTGTCAAATTTAATTTTCTGCGATGTATGTTCATACACAAAAAAGTATTTATGAAAGAAAAAAGTCTGAAACCATCGATAGTATCGATAGTTTGCGAACACTAGCTTAAAGATTTAAGTGAATTCCCTTTTAGCGCGTACAAACAATTTTTACTGCTCAAAGCAAATGTGAATAGCACTAATTTAGGGGAATTATTATTAAAATAAACATGAATTCTTGTTCTTGAAAATTCTTGTTTTTCGCTAATTTTAATAGGTTTTAGAGAGTAGGACAAATCACCCATTTTTGTATAAGATCAATGTCTTTTTTACACGTTTTTTTTTTACACGGTTTCTTCTGGAACCAATCTCCGTGTAAAAACAGACTTAGGTGTATATATATATATATATATATATATATATATATATAAGTATATGTATAGTATGTTAGCGAAAGATATTATTTGAATGAGTATGTTTGAATGTCGCGCGTGTCATTTTGTGCGGTTGGCTACAACAGACGTGTGTGAGCGAGTTCAGGCGGAAGGGGCAGAGCTAGAGAGTGACAAGGCGGAGTCTGTTGTAGCATAGAGATTGAGATAAGAGAATTTAGATGAATATAGATTTGATGAAATAAATGTTTTGCAAGGATTACTGCACCGTATTTTAGTTGTTCAATTTATGTAAGATTCCTGTCAAATAAATAATATTAGTATCTCAAATAATAATAGTAATTAAAATATGTATTTAATTGATTTCGTTTTATAGGTTAATTTCATACTTTGGATGTAAAAATAAGGGCCTATTTTTTAAAGACTTAGTTTGTCAAGAATGTGGTTTAATAATTTTTTCTAATGATGAGGGAGCATTACCTAAACATACACCCATCACTTTCAAGTTTAATGATACATCAGGTAAGGTTTTTCCACATCGAAAGAAATATTTTTAATATCATATTATTTACTTTAGAGTTGCAATTATTATTTCTCTAATATATTCATAAAGATTTTTTAAAATTATTTTTCACATTTCTAGACCTTATATATATGACATCACTGATTGGCTTCACCAACCCTATACAATTTTTTTTTTCATATTTTTTACATTTAAAATTTATATTTAATAAACAAACTGATGATTTTTTTCTGTTGAAAATTTTATACGATTCAGTAAATTCATATTAACAACTTTAAATTTAACTTCTTATTTATGACGTCGCTATAATAATAAACGATTTTTATAATTGATAAGAAAAAAATTAAATTTTGGAAAAAAGTTTTACAATTTTCCAAAATTTAAATAAATTATTAACTTGTCTAAATTCCAAATTATTATTATGGTTTGTATTATTTGTACAGAATATAACTTGAAGATGTTTAATCATTTTTTTCATCTAATATTTTTATAGCCAGCAAATTAGAGTAACCTTGTAATACTGAATTTTGCACAATTTTATTTATTACTATTATTCAACCATTATATTTTTAAAACTGCCATTTTATATTTCAGTTAATTATTTCTAGAAGTTTTAATTTTTTTTAAATTGGTTTTTATGGTAAAAATTTTAATCATTATGGGCCTTCTAGTTTTTGAGTTTGATATACGAAAGTTTTTTTAATTGAAAACATTCCGAGATATAAAAAGGCGAGAATAACTCGGTTCTATTTTTATTTAGTGTTCCTTTATACAATATGAATTTTCATTGGCCATATTAATAGTATTTACAATGAAAATATCGCATTAAAATATTACCAAATATTTTTTTGTATTTAAGACTATGAAAATAATTAGCGATTATTTTTATTTAAATATGCCACTTATTAATGTTAATAATTAGTTTTTTTATGATGATTTTATATTTTGTGCTCATATGTTTTTATTTTATATTACATAAAATTAAGACCTCTAATTAATGATATGCAAAGTTCTGTAAAATACAATCATAATTATTCTTGTTTCACATAAATACTAATACATTGTATTAACTTCCCGTAGGGTAAGTTATTTTTTGTTATTTAAATCATTAAGTATTCTTATAAAATATACTAATAATAGTTTACAAGAATGAATATATTGGAACTGTAGGTTCTAAACACAAACGGTCAGCATGAAAAATTTATTGAACATAACTTTAAAAGTTCAACTATTGTGCGTCTCATTGTGTCATATTGTATTTTTATAGTAAATACAGATACAAAAATTGATGGAAAAGAAATAATGTTTACTGCTATGAATGAATTACACGGAAATGCATCACATATGAATGGTGGCTGTTTAGGAGTCCGTGAAGATAATTTTTATGACAATGGAGTAAGTGCTGTTAATCAAATTAAGATTTTATCACTACTTATATTCATGTATCTAATATATATAATTTTTTAAGGTATTAGATACTATTACTAAATACTATGTAAATGATGGAATGGATATAGGCTGTGTTCCAGCATTTTCAAATGAAAAGATTGCTGTTCCGTTGATGAATGGTAATTGCAGTAGTTTTGACTATTTACACTTTCAGTCGATGTTGAAAATAATATAAATATAATTTATGACAAAAGCTAATTATGCAATTTTTTATGGTAGAATTAATTGCTTCTGATAATTCAGATTTTGTAGAAGAATATGAGCATGGCCAATTAGATAATTTAAAAATTATTGAGAATAATGGAGTTGAAGCAAATAATGGCAATGACACTGAAAATGTAAATGTGACAAATAGTAAAGAAGAAACACATAAATTAGAAGAAATATTTTTAAAGTTTTGGGACGATTTTGATCTCAGTGATAAGAACCTAAGTTTAAATAAGCAAATTTTCGGGTTTGTATCAAACTATTTTTTTTTATGTATGCTATAAGTTATCAAATAAAATTTTAAATCTAAATTGTTTTTCAGAATAATTGACAAAGGATTTTTAAAATGTTTATTGTGTCGTCATAAATTAACTCTCAACAAACGAGGTGTTCTTGGTCATATTAATGGAATGAGCCATAGAAGAAACCTTAGCGAATTTCTAGAAATTCGTCACTATTGCAGCGTATGTAGACTATTTATACAGGACTTCAATTTGCATAAAATCTCATCAAATCATATTTCTAAGTAAGATACAGTGATCTTAATTATGGTATATAATATACTTTAATTTAATTTTGAATTTAGTATTCCAGATTATAATGATGACTTTAATAAAGATAATCCTCCTACAATGAAACATGAATGCAGTGAGTGCCGCGTTATATCATACTATCCAGCAGGTACCAACTTTGAACACACACATTTTGAATTTGAATTCTCAAAGGTTATTACAAAAGGAAAAATTAGTTCCAATGGTAAATTCATTAAAACTTGGAAATATAAGTATTATCTAAACCAAATTTTATATTAGAAACAAAATTATGTTATTCAATTAACAGCAAAAATTAGAAAAAAAATTTTGACTTTAATCGAGGATGAACAAGTATTGAATGACTACTCTGTTAATTTAATCAAATTGGCAAAAACTGCAGCACAATCGAATGAATTGATATTAGCTACCTGCACTATGCTGGAGAAAAATTTATCAGTGTTCACAAGCTGCAAAGCCTACCCTTTTGGCTCTAGAATGACTGGTTTAGGATGTGAAAGTAGCGATCTTGACATTTTTTTTGACAGTGGTAACATTTTTGTATTGCTATATGTATGCATACATATATATATATATATATATATATATTAATTTGGAAATATGAACAAACAACACTCTTTTTGTTCATATTTCCAAATTAATATCTATTATCCACTCAGAATACATTTGTAATATATATATATATATATATATATATATATATATATATATATATATATTTTGTAGAGTTTCGAACAAGAATCCAAAAATAATACAAAATAAAAAAACAAGAAAAGTTTTTAATAAACAATTTCTTTATTTAATTATTTGTTTACTGTCAACGTTTCGGAACTAGGTACGTTCCATCTTCAGGACATCTGTCAAGAAACATGATCTTGATAAGATTTAAGCAAACAATATGTTTAAGAATAGAAAATAGATTTTTCTTAAATAATAAATTAATTGTAACAAATAATAATGTACAGAAATATGATAATATGATCAAAATGAAAATGATAAAAATAAATGAGTGGATTATCAGAACAGGATATTAAAAATGATAGAAATTTTTTGAAAGTTATGGAAAAATTTTTTAAGAAAGGATTAATGATAAAATTGAATTAATTACCTGTATGTTTGAATATACGTTAGCACTTTTTCACTAAACAAGAATTTTTGACAAAAAATGAATTTGTGAGTTATTTTTCCGCCGAATAGTTAACTTTTGTAAATCAAAATTACTAAAAGTGTTGCTTTTTTTAAAATTGTTATTTGAAAACAAATAATATTGTATTCGAAGTTATACTATTGGCTTTTGGAAGTGAACTAAACTGTATTTGCTGGATTCATATGTAACACGTGTAAACACTTGAAACGAGAACTGTGAGATTGTATGTGTGTGTTTTTTTCATGTTAGGGTGTAAATACTTAAATTATTGAACTTAAACGTATTTACACCCTAACATGAAAAAAACACACACATACAATCTCACAGTTCTCGTTTCAAGTGTTTACACGTGTTACATATGAATCCAGCAAATACAGTTTAGTTCACTTCCAAAAGCCAATAGTATAACTTCGAATACAATATTATTTCTTTTCAAATAACAATTTTAAAAAAAGACAACACTTTTAGTAATTTTGATTTACAAAAGTTAACTATTCGGCGGAAAAATAACTCACAAATTCATTTTTTGTCAAAAATTCTTGTTTAGTGAAAAAGTGCTAACGTATATTCAAACATACAGGTAATTAATTCAATTTTATCATTAATCCTTTCTTAAAAAATTTTTCCATAACTTTCAAAAAATTTCTATCATTTTTAATATCCTGTTCTGATAATCCACTCATTTATTTTTATCATTTTCATTTTGATCATATTATCATATTTCTGTACATTATTATTTGTTACAATTAATTTATTATTTAAGAAAAATCTATTTTCTATTCTTAAACATATTGTTTGCTTAAATCTTATCAAGATCATGTTTCTTGACAGATGTCCTGAAGATGGAACGTACCTAGTTCCGAAACGTTGACAGTAAACAAATAATTAAATAAAGAAATTGTTTATTAAAAACTTTTCTTGTTTTTTTATTTTGTATTATTTTTGGATTCTTGTTCGAAACTCTACAAAATATACACAAATCCAAGACTCTACCATTCAATATATATATATATATATATATATATATATATATATATATATATATATATTTATATTTAATTTGAGTTTGAAAGTCGGGCGTTACATCAATAAAAATAGTATGAGAGTTTTCAGAAATTTACTTAAAATCCATCCTTCTATACTTAATTCAGTGGCAATCAATATAACTATAAAAATTAGAACTAAATAATATTAGTCCAGTCATTTGGTGCAAAAAAAGGCTGTTGCCGGTACAGTACTCCGGGAATTCTGAAAATTGGTAATATTATAGATTTTGAGGTGCTCTTTGCGAAAATCAACTTTGCCACCTCAAATTTGAACGGCAAGTTGCCGCAATATTGAAAAAATGGCGTCAAAAAACAGCTTTTTCAAAATATCTCCTTTCTGGCTGACTCTGCGTAAAAATTATCTATGTACGAATTAAACTAAATAAAATTTCCTACAATTCCTTAAAAAAACGTTTTTTTGTAAAATTGATAGTTTGAGAGCACGGCCGCCTCAAAGTCTTTGCTGCTCTCGCCGCAGTATCAAATCTCTCCATATATGACAGCACTTCGAACTTGACCACATTCTCTCTAATAATTAATATTTTCAATGTTAAATTAAGCGAATGAGATCTAGAAATAAAATAATTCAAATATTTTTCTGTTTTTTTGCTGATTTTTTAACGCTTCAAGCTACTTGAAGCTATAAGGTGCTACTCAAGCTATAAGTATACTTATAGTTACTTTGCCATTGAAGTGTTAAAAAATTAGCAAAAAAAACGATAAATATTTGAATTATTTTATTTCTAGATCTCATTCGCTTAATTTAACATTGAAAATATTAATTATTAGAGAGAATGTGGTCAAGTTCGAAGTGCTGTCATATATGGAGAGATTTGATACTACGGCGAGAGCAGCAAAGACTTTGAGGCGGCCGTACTCTCAAACTATCAATTTTACAAAAAAACGGTTTTCTAAGGAATTGTAGGAAATTTTATCTAGTTTAATTCGTATATAGATACTTTTATCGCAGAATCAGCCAGAAAAGAGATATTTTAAAAAAGCTGTTTTTTGACGCCATTTTTTCAATATGGCGGCAACTTGCCGTTCAAATTTGAGGTGGCAAAGTTGATTTTCGTAAAGAGCATCTCGAAATCTATAAGATTACCAATTTTCAGAAATCCCGGAGTACTGTACCGGCAAAACGACCAAATGACTGGACTATATGTAAGAAATGGAAATAAATATCATAGAAAAACAATAATAATAATAATAAATAACTCTTAATAAGTTGAAGAAACTATGTATTGACTATTTGGAATCTAAGATAGAAATGTCACATTTTTTTTTGAAGCAGTTTTTAAAATGTGTTCAAATTTCACAAGAAATTTAAAAGGCGATGGGATTTTGTCATTTTTTAGGAAATTTTGACACGCTATATAGGAACCACGTGTTTATTTCGTTCAAGGCCGTGTTGTCGAATCGTTTGTTTATGACCCTATTGTTATGCAATCGCAAAAACAACCCCTCAGGGAATTTCTTTTAGTTACGTTCTCTTCAAAATTTAAAATTTTTGGGTTGAAAAAATCTATATTATAATTTAAATTATTTATATGCTCGGTTAACATGGTTATGAATTGTTTGGGATTTTTTGAGTTATTTTTATGTTGATAAAGGCGCTGACTCAGGTTTTGGCTAGTTCCTCCGATATAAAAGAGCTCACAAGTAGAACTATTAATCTGATATACTAAGTTCCTGAGACGGTCAGAATTAAACATAGATTTAATTTGTGTAAAAATGGAACTGAGGGTTCTATTGCAATTACATACGTCTAAACGGTTTTTATGGTCGGTGATTTTGTTTGTTGAAAAGGTAGTTAACCGAGCATGTAAATAATTCAAATCATAATATAGATTTTTTTAACCCAAAAATTTTACATTTTGAAGTGAAAACGTAATTAATAGAAGATTCGCTGAGGGGTTGTTTTTGCAATTGCATAACGACAGGTTCATAAACAAACGATTCGATAACACATCCCTGAACGAAACAAACAGGTGGTTCCTAAATAGCGTGTCAAAATTTCTTAAAAAATGACAAGATCCCATCGCTTTTTAAATTTTTCATAAAATTTGAACACATGTTAAAAACTGCTTCAAGAAAAAATGTGACATTTCTATCTTAGACTCCGAATAGTAAATACATAATTTCGATAACTTGTTAAGTTATGTTTATTTATGTGTTTTACCATCTGTGATGTTAAAAAATATATATTTTACCACTGTGCACATACTCATACAATGGATTAATAATGTTTTCATATGTTATGAATTTTAAATAAATTTCTAAATCTATGAAAAAAAAACTATTCAATTGAAGTTTAAGATTAAAAGTTCGGAAAATAGCTATGAGTAAAGAATCTCTTGAATATTAATTTGTATATATGTGTCAAATTTATTGTAAACAATCACAATTAAATGTTTTATAAATGATATAACTTGAAAGGTGTTCTACTATAATGACAAATATGTTTACAATTAACATTAGTAGTTGTAGCATGGTTGTAGCATATAACAGCATATAGTTAATTAGCTATTATTTTTGTATTATTACAGGTTCCATGTATAATGGATTACAAAACCAAAACAGTCAATTTCAGAATTCGTTAATTGATGTATGTTGTGAGGTGTTAAAAAAATGTGACGAGTGGGACTTTGTGTTCCCTGTTACAAAAGCTAGAACACCAATTATTAAAGCATTTAATACTGTATATAAAATGGACTGTGATATATCTTTTAGAAATGGCTTAGGTGTTGAAAATACTGTCATATTAAAGTGAGTAATATTTTTGTTATGGACTATTGTTCCAATTTGCTTTCAACATATTGTTTTTTGTAAAAATTTTTTTTTTTCAGGCGAATATTGGATGATCAACCTATAGCAAAGCGCATGATATTAATCTTGAAACATTGGTTAAAACTAATTAAAGTTTCAATGAATGGGTATGCTATAGCATATCTTGTTATATTTTATCTTCAGCTACAAAAGCTCATTGTACCTGTATGGCATATGACTACAGGAAGTAGTCATGAAAAAAAAATTATTTGCGGTAAGTGTATATTCAAATTGTACTGCAAATTTAGCTACAGATATATGAGTTGCTTGTGCGTTATAATTGGGAAAGGCAGGGCACAGTGATTAGCTTTAGGATATTAATTTATGAATTATTGGATTCAATCTTCTTTGATCGAAGATGTAACCCGTAGGTTTTTTCAATCCATAAATGTGGTCACCTCATAAATGGACAGTATTTTGGGAAGCACAAAAAACATATATCACCTTTCAAACGTTACTTATGGATAATTCGTCCAAACAACTGCACTGCCAGAAAATTTAAACAATTGCAATGCATAAGTGCAGTGCAATTTGGGGATATCACAGAATGCGAGATATTTTTAATTTTACATTTTGTTTTTTTTAAATCCGGAACTGTCAGCGTACGAATCAGCCCAAAATTGCCATTTCTTTTACAAGTTATTTGTACAATATAGGGTAATAATAAAGAACTCGACCGGTATAAATGAAATGAATGAAAGGGTTAAATTTGTTTCCAATTTAGTGTCATAACATTATCATAAAGGAATCTCATTTTAGTAAATATTTCATAAGTGTCCACATTTGAGGACATTATTCAAAACTAATTATTTATCTCAGGTTTAATTTTATTATCTCAGGTTGGGAGTGCCAAGTTGTAGACTATGTGGCTTTTCCGAAAAGCACTGAAAAATTATCGAATTTATTGCGTGGTTTTTTCAAATATTATGGAGAATTCAATTACTCACAGAATGTGATTTGTCCATTATTGGGCCAGATAGTTAATAAAGAAGAGTTTGAAGATTATATGTCACTTCCTGAGCAATTTAAACCATATATAGATCATTGCCAACGAATTTCAAGGGCTACATTAAATGATTTCGATTCAAACGATATGGATTCAAACGATTTGAATTCAAACGATATGGAGTTACTTGATCAGTTATATTTTGGACCCCTAAAAACTGATGCATCAATGTGTCTTCAGGATCCTGTTGATTTGTCTCATAATGTAACTAAAGGTATTAGACCTACAGATTTGGAAAAATTTAAAATTATGTGCGAGTTTTCTTCATCCATTATTGCCACTAAGAATTCGAGTGATCGTGCGGATAATTATATTGAAGAATAATAAGCTGCACAATAGTTTGATTGTCGTTTCAAGCATACAAGTACAACCATTATTGTTGTCGACAATAATATTTTATAAAAATATTTTTTAATCTTACTATTAATTAATTTTAATATGAATAAATTTAAAATTTTTAAATGAGCCATATTATTTACTTCAAATTATTTTTTATTTTGGACAAAATGTCTGTATGTACGGTATGTATTTTATTATAGTCTTGGAAAATGCTTTTACCCATTACGCCTTGATAAATACCGAATTGTAAGTATCTGGCATGAATTGGGAATTTCAGTTGCTGCACTTATATATATATATATATATATATATATATATATATATAAATGAGAGGTTTTTTCAGATGGTGAAATATTATAATAAAGTTGTTCTTGGGCGTCCATCCATTAATTAAAACTATTTTATTAAGTAGTATTTTAATTTTCCATACATTAATTAAAACTATTTTATTAAGTAAAATGTTTTATTGTCAAACGTTTCGGGTCCTGATTTGACCCATCTTCAGTGCATACAAATAATTTGAAGAAAAAATAAAAAACACGGAAAATATAATGCACCAATTACTATTCAATTTTCAAAGCACGAATTTTAAAACTAATATTAAACTAAAATGAAATAAATGAAAAAGTTTAAAAAAAAAGAACTCTTCTCATCGAGATATGTTATAGGTTCAAATTACTATACATATGCATACTTTGCATAATAGTATACATATTATGCATAATATAAAAACATCATTTTACAAAAGAATAGGTATGCGTTATGCAGACTAATTGAAAATATAAAAAAAAATCTTTAAAAAGCATATTTTAAAAAGATTCTAACATATGCTGAACGTAATCATAAATTTTTCGTACAATGTTGAATTACTTAAGCTTCGCAAAACAAGTCATAAAACGGATGTTCATATTACACAGAGTAGACATGTCGTTGCGTTTTTTAATTATTGCTTTTTCGTAATAGATGTTATTAAAACTTTGTTCCGAAAGTTTTGTAAGTCTTTTAACTTACAAATAAATTATATATTTTAGAATTCTAATCAAAAGAAAATATGGAAAACTCGGTATTTTGCAAAATACCCATTATTACTTCTAGAGAGGAAAGTCGTTTACTAAAATATATAGTCATCATTTACTACAATACAGTCTAATAACTAATTTCGCAATACCAATGAAAATGAGAAAAGGGCTTGAAACTAATTCTTCTTCAGCAAACATCAGCTTTAAATTAGACAGGATCTGAAATAGAAAGAAATCATGTATAGGAAATGTACACATAGACGCAAAACGTTGTTTTATTTTGTTAAGAGTCGCTTTCAATAATTTTGTGTTGTAACATACTTAATAAGATATCTTTATAGCGCGTTCAATTTAAACTTAATTCCTTCGTCCTAATTTAAACCTAAATTCATGACGGTTACAATAATTCATAATGGGCTGTAACTTGATAAAATTGCTTAAAATACCATTATGAAAGTAATCTCAAAAGTCCTTATCGTCCCGGTGCGAGCTAAAAATTTGGCACAAGGTCAAAGGCCGAAGAAATGATTTTTTTTTGCGATTTTCAGCTAAATGGTCAGTTTTATCGAGAAATTACCCGAAACAAAATTGTAGAGCATAAAGTTAGCTACAAAAGATGTATGAATACTTTTTATTCAGAGCCACCGTTTCAAAGATGTCAAGACTGATATATTATATTTTTAAACTTGTACATTATTTAAAAACTTGTAAAGAAATATAGAGAAATTATCGTTTAACCTTTTCTTTATATTTTTTCAAACATCGCATCAAATAACCGGAGTACCGCCTTACACAAAAAAAAAATCCCTACTAAAATGTTTCGGATTTTAAATATTATTGCAAAATTGGGAAAAAAATAAAATCAAGCTCTCTCTGAAGACCTCTTAATTTTTCCTGGTTTACGACTTCATTAACTCGGCTATAGCAGAAATTCTCGTTAAACTCAAGAACAATGCTTGGTATAAGCTTGAATCACTTATAAGTGCATTTAACATAATACTTTCTTTTAATAGTAAATAATATTATACTTAAATGGATTTACCGGTGATTCGTTGAAGCTTTTCTTCCGAAACCGCTGCGGTTCTTTCATTTTCCGTTGCACTGGAGCAAGCTGAACTGTCGAATGAGTGTTGAGATATTTGACAAAGACAAGCACAAACATCTTTGGAACCTGTTTTATTATGATTTTTATTAAGTTCTACTCATAGATAAAAGAAGAGTATACTTACAACGTTCTACTTACAAGTTACTAATTGCGCAAAAAAGATTTTCTGATCTTTTAAAGCATGCTATGTATATTATCGGTTTATAGTAAGAAAGACCCTTTCAATATTAATAAATATTGTTTCTGACTTTTGTCGAGCTTTATCATATAAATGAACCAAAGTAATGTAATTTTATAGTTTAGTTAGCACAAGGCTTTTATAGTTTAGTTAGCTCAAACTTTTATAATGTTGTACTGTATCTGGATTCTGAATTTTTTATGTCTGCGGAATTTATGTGAAATTAAAGTTTGCTATGTGTTTTCATGTGACATTTTTTGACTAATTCCGGTTAGTGTTAGTTAGTTGTGTTATAATGTTATATTATTTCATTTGGTTACCTTCGATTATTGTACTCTTCATAGATGAATTTTCTCCATCTATTTCAAAATGCAGACTTGGATCTGGTTCATCAAACACGGATGAAATGTCGTATGGGGTCCATGTTATGTTTTTAATGAGTCGTGCTTTCACTCGATTTAATAGCCCGTTATGGTTTGTCTGTGGAAATATTATTAATATATGTGAAAAAAAACGCAAAAATATTATGCTATTTGGATCTTAAACAATTCTAAACAGAAATCTTTGAATTTAATATGAATGTTTTTTAATAATAGCGTTATTGCATAAATATTGAAATAAATGTTCAAGTTTGATCATATATATTCTGACTGGTAATATTTTTCATTTAGATTATTGTTGTTTAAGACATTTTTATATTGTACTAGCTCTTTCATGCTTATCCACATTATCGAGTCTTTGCAAATAGAGTTTGCTTTTTGCACTCTTTTGCTTTAGAGCTTTGCATTTTGCTTCCTTTCAATGCTATTATTTTTTGCTATTCTGACAAAAAACATTGTATCAAATGATGCGAAATTTATCTAAGAATGCAAACAATCTGGTCAACCCGAAAAAAAATATTTAAAAAAATAATAATAAAAAGATACCTGCACTTGTTTAAGAATATCCAAGCCATTAGTGAGCAAATCTTCCCGAATGGCAGGCAAATCACAAATATTTTGTAAACACTGGAATAAACGTAAAAATCTAGTTAGTAGGTTTGTTCCCTTTTAAATTTTCAAAATAAAACTTTGAATTGGTCAAAAATTGTTTGTATAATAAGTGTGAGATATTCCTTGAGGTAGACAATTCCCACAATGGTGGTCAATGAGAGTAGGCCTAAGACAATACATAATAATAGGGTTGATCTAGACTAGATACAAGTTGATTTAAAATCAATTATCAATATAAGTTTGGTAGCAAAATATGTACATTTCGAAAAATCGGATTTGAAAAGTCTAAAACTCAAAAAAAAGTTCGGAAGATGCCACCTGGAATCGTGATGGTAAAGATTGTCCAACCTATTTTTTCTATGGTTAAAATCGTTTCTGATGACTTTGATGATCAAAGAGTTCATGGTCTTACCGAACAACTTTAAATATTTTTATGGGTATAATTATAGAAATTCATAAAAGTGTGGAAAAATGAGCGGTGTCAAAATTTCAGAACTGTATAGGCGCTAATTTTAAAAGTTGTTTTGCAGACTACAGTTGGTATAGTATAGAATCTGTGTGAATATAGAAATGTTGAAACTTGCCTGCATAGCGTAAATTTGACAATTAACGTTTTTCCTAATAGTTGCCATCTGCACAAGTCTTGCAGGTAATTTGTGGAACTCTCTGCAACGCCATTTCGACCTCGTACTGGATGTGACTGCTTGAAATGCCATTGCTGCTCTTGTATGGACAAGAGCACGCTGTGAAATTGTTATATTTCGATCAAATATCAATCAACATTTTTAACTTCCCGTTGGGTAAGTCATAGTAATCTAGCTGTAAGTGGAATTCTGTCTTAAGGCAATTAGGGCATCGTGCCTTAAGGCAAATTGCTGGAACTTCCCGTACCAAAAATTATTATTTTTTTAAAAAAGTTTAACATTTTTAAAAAAAATTTACTTCGAAAAAATTAGATTTTTGAGAAACTATAAATTTGACAAAAAATTACTTTTTTGAAAAAAAAAATTTTTTTTTTGAAAACCAAATTTTTTTTGAAAATAAAAATGTTTTCTTCATTTTGACTTATTTCGGAAATTCTGAACTTTTTTTCAAAGCAATCGTACTGCTTTATTTGCATAGAGACGAAATGTCAAAGCGCGCAAGTGCCGCGCCGCCGTCTAACGGATAAGCATTGGTACGGAACCCATAGAAAGTAAAAATTTTTTATACTTATTGTTAAAATCTCTATAAAATATCTGATAATTTGATGCGCATATGTCTAATGAAATGAAATCTAATCTAATGAAATGAAATTTGATCAATTCTTCATCTTGTCAATACAAGTAAAATGTTTTTTGAATTATTCAAATCGGACGCTCCGTTCTCTTAAAAACTGAGTTACCGTTTTCGGCACTTTTTGCCCCATATCATTGGAACGGCTAGACCTGCCTTCGCCAAAAACTAGTCAGCGCGTCTCCTTATCAGTAGGAATCGAATGTTTTTTGAATAATTTAAATCGGTTGATCCGTGTTCCCGAAATCGTCGACGAAAATTTGTATCCGCACGCACATACATACACACACACACATACATCCATTTTTTCTAACGTATGCCAAAATGTTCAGAAACCTCTGAAACGTAAAGATATATAAAAATTTTCATTTTCGATTTTTTTGCGATTACTATAACTTGCCCTACGGGAAGTTAAAAAATCGAAAATGAAGTTTTTTGCATATCTTCACGTTTTG